AGCTTCCGAAGCAGTGTCGGAATCCGTACTATTTATAGGTTCCCGGAGTTCTGGTTGCCCCAGAGGGAGCAGCGCTTTGTCCTGCTTTTCATCGAATCCCTTCGTGCTGTGGTCATCTTCTCCGAAGCTGGGCTCTGGGCTGAGTTCTCCTCGTGTGTCCTGTGTCGTGTGTTTTAAGGATTTGTGCAGTCATTTGCCTTTTCTGGAGACAACCCTAGATATCCATACCAATAAGCGTCTTCCCCTTCCTGTAGAACTTGCAGCATTTTGGATCTGAAACTAGACACGTTACGTTCTATTTGATTGTAATCGGCCTTATCTGATTTTTTTCTTATTCATCTAGGACAGGCCATCAATATATGATGATACCTGTATGTGATATCTTTGTATTTGCTAGCAGGAAATTTAAGCAATTACCACTAATGTCTAATTCTAGATGTGCTTGTCAACAACCTCATTTCTTCTCATTATTTCAGTTGATAGGTAATGTGGCATTCAGGGGGATTTTATTAGATACGTATGTCTGAGCTGTAACATCAGAAAAAAGTTTAACATAATGGGACTTCTGTTTAATTCTCATTTTGCACAAGATATGTAGCTCGGAAGAAAGAAAAACTTACGTTGATGCCTTTCAAATATTGCACTTGTATTCTCTTCATCCTTCAACCATAAAAAATACACAAAGGGAAAAAATCAATGATGTGCTTGCAAGCTCCTAAATTTATACATTTTAAACAGAAGATTGTAAGTGAATGATACTCTGGGACATGATCCTATAGGAATGATACTATAAAACAATGCAAAACTCACACTTCGTCCTCCCTTCCATGTGTGACCTGGGGTACATTACTGAAACATTTGGGTATTGGTTTCTTTGCAGGCAAGATTAGAGGGCTGAGCGAAATAATCACTAAGGTTTCTTCTGGCTCTAAAATACAGAACATGGAGGGTCGTCACTGACTTAATAGCAACAAGTTGTTATTATCTGGGTTCAATAAAAACAGAAAGCTACGTCCTTCCTCAAGGCTAGTTGCAAGTCTGTTGTCTGTATGGGAAAATTTTAGAGCTGATGGTTTCTCTTCCTGTTGGAGACTTTACTGTTTCCGGAAAATGGAGAAAGAGCCAGATATCCACGTTACCGCCAGTTGGGAGCCAGTACTTTGCATTTCCTCGACAAGAGCACCTGCCAACATTTTTCTCACTACTATATCATTATTTATTAAAGACAGGGAGCGTGTTTTCTTCGTGATGGTGCACCTAGAACATTGTGTGGCAAATGATAGACTCCTGAGTGCTTTGCTATATCTTGTCTTTGCAGCCTTCTCCCCTCCCCCAATTCCACTAAGGATGTTTAATTAAGATAGCATGTTCCAAAAAGCCTGCATTTTAAAAATGTTCCCTCTTGAATGCTGGTCATTGTAACTAGATTGTTAGTCCCTGCAGAGCACAGACCGCGTGGTCTATTTCTTTTAAATCTCAGTACAGAATGTTGGTCAGAAGCTTTCCCCAAAGTTGCTGGCCGATGCGGAGGGGGAAGATCCCTGGAATAAAAATGAGGAGAGTGGGTGTGCACCCAGTTTCGGCTCTGCCCCTTCCTGCTCAGGGAGGCGCCAGAACCCATTCATCCCTGTTAGTGTCTTTGAAATTGTGATGCTTAATTCTTGCTCAGCTTCACAAAGCTGACAATAGGTGTGGAAAGGACTTGACTTTGCGTAGTTCTGTCCAAAGGGAAGCTTTTCTAGTTTTCACAGTGTCGCTGCTCATCCACCCAACAGAACTCCAGTGCAGGCATGGACGAGTGTACTTCTTGCGTGTGCGAGAGGGTCACTGCATTTGTTGTGATGGTGTCCTCACACAGTGTCCCTCTGGCTGCTCTTGCCAGGTTTATCTTGCCCTGTGGTTTCTGCTTGGTAGTGCAGAAGGGGCATTTACAGGCAGTGCGGGGCTGCAAACCTGATTCTGTGTGATAAAGGCAGTGCTCTTTATTAACGAGGGTGTGTAAGTGTCCCTGGGAGAGAGGATCAGTACAGAAATAGCTGGAGAATATTAATGATTAGTAAGTTCCCTCACTGGCATTGGATGCAGATTATTTTTAACATGAATCTAATAAATTTAGTAAAACAATGAAAGCTTTAAAAAAACAAAATAGAGGTTAGGAATTACAGTAAACAGAGTCTTAAATACTATATTACCTTGGCAATATAATTAAAATCTATTGCATATAAAAAAACACCTTGGCTAAAGATATTTTAATTTGTTTGCCTTGCTTATTTTACTTTTTCAAATGCTTTTACAATCATACTTTTTCTAATGCTTTTAGATTATGGATACGTATTGATGATTTTATCGTTTACTTATGATTTTCTTCCTTTTTGTTGAAGCAAAATTTTGTATATCCCATTTATGAGTACAGAGCCCTTGAGCTGTAGCTTGAGAAAAATAACGGGTGACAATTTTTGGGCCCTGTGTCAAACCTGTGTCAACTGATGGTCATTGGTGGCAGTTCAGAGCCAACTGGAACCCCCCACTGGGGGTGTGCAAACAGCACTGAGTGTGATGTAGCAGCGCTGTGAGAACCACATGGCGGTAGACCAGCTCAGTAGTGTTCCGGTTCAGTTAGGAAGCAGCATGGCTGTGGAACAGCATGGCCGTGTGGTGGCCCTGGGGCACAGTGGCACTGGGCCGAGGCAGCCCTCAGGCGAATCCTCTAGCTAGACAGCTCTGTCCTGCCCTGCACTGATCTGCTTCCCTCCGTTCTGGAGAGATAGTTTTGGTGTTTCAGCTTCAGATGCAACTGCAACCTTAAGTTTTTGGTGGAAAGGGAAAGTGCAGTCCCCCCAAGCCCCTGGGGAGCTGACTTTTATACACTGAAGTCCCACCCCTGGTCTCTGATTGGTCTATCCTCATGCAAATGAGAACTCCAAATCCTAACAGTTTGATTGGTCCAAAAAGCACTGTTCTGATTGGTTAGAATGGAGCCACTCTGATTGATTGGTGAAGATACTGATGGAGCTATAGCTGCACAGCTCTGATTGGATGGGGAAAGCCTCAGCCCTTATTGGTTGAAATGCAATTCCAGGAACTCCCTGATGAGTTAGGGCTGACTCAGAAGGCAGAGACACAGTTCAGTGCAGAGGCAGGCAGCTCAGGGCAGGCTTCTCCCTGAGGTGTGGTTTGCATGAGAGACCACCCCTGTTTAGAAATGCCCACTAGGCTCTGCTTTTAAATTTGAGCCCAGGTAGCCCTTCTCTTTGGGTATCTTTTTTACTTGATGTTCACTTCTGTTATAAGCTTATTTCACTTAGTCCTCACAACAACCCTAGAAGGTAATGAGGATGATTATTTCTAGTTACAGATGAGAAAACTGAGGCCCAGGAGAGGCTGAATAACTTGGCTATGGCCATAGCTGTGTCAATGTGAGAATGTCCAAACCTTGGAGGATTTTTAGGAAAACTGATTTGAGCCCAACAGGATATGCTTAAAAGCAAGATCTCCACAGACTGAGAAAATGCTTCTTAGAATAGCCGTCTGCAGCTTCTATTTTTGTATGTAGAATGGAGGGAATGGAAGGAAGATTATATGAAGGCGGGAGAAAGCAAGGTGGGAACTGGATTGCAGGATGACTTCAGCCATCTGAAGCTGGTGTTATTTTTAGTGAAATCTCTCCATTTCTGTAGGCACTTGCAAGGTGAGGGTCTACACGGATTGGACTCTGACCACTGAAGGGCTTGTGAACCTTGGAGGCGTGATTACCCACATGAATTTTAATGTTTCTTGTGAGTCAATTTTAAAATGCTGCAATTAAAAGCACTCACCTAGGAACAGCTCACATAAAGTCAGGAACCTCTACCTAAAGCAGATCAGCTTGGCTTTGGAGAGAAAACTCCCCCAAGTTCATCCAATGAGAAGCAGGGTGCTGGTGGAGCAAAACGGGCCCAGCTAGGACCTAGAAGGGGGTCTGATTCGGTGGAGTGGGCCAGGGTGGGCTTCCTTTGAATCCTGATGACTATGCCAAGTCAATGCCAATGTAAGAATGTCCAAACCTGTAGGGAATTTTTATAAAGATTTTGTTTGAGTCAAACAGAGAATACATCTGGGAGCAAGATCTCAACAGACTGAGGTGGAATGCTTCCAAGCAGTTACAGTTTGCAGCTTCTTGTGTGCATTTGGAATTGAGGAGGGAATGCAAGGAAGATTACAGGAAGGTGGGAGAGAGCACTGCAGGGGTCAGATGACCCCAGGGCTAACAAGGCTGTGTGGTCTCTCGAGGGTGGTCAGGCTTTAGAGGGAGGGGTGTGCAAGGGGGCAGTTCAAAGGCGTGTTAACCCAGGCACTTCCACCACTCTATTCTCTGGGTGAGTCCAAGGTCCATACAGCACTGAGAACCAAGGGAGCAGGTGGCCCTGGGCCCTCTGAGGTCCTCGGCCACTTCTCCTCTCTTGTCCCTTTCAGAGCAATAATAAAAACACAAGTTTGGACCTACGCTCCAGTTAGGCTTCTGAGGTGCGTAGGAGATGTTTTTGAGTTTCTATCACCTTTGTCTTCAGGGTGGCTGTTCTTGCTGGTCAGCTCCCTCCCACCTCCCCCTCTCTTCTTCTCCGCCCCTCCTGCCATCGTCATGCCTGTCAGCCCCTGACCTTCCCTAGGCAAGTGGTGGTGACTCACTGCTTCCTAGGAAGGAGGCTTACCAGTGACATCCCAAATCTTGGGGCCCTTCCTTAGACGGGAGAAGATGTACAGGCTCCTAACATGACCCATCCTCTATTTGGAGTGGGAGGTGTTTGGGAGGATGGGAGGGAAAACCAGATCTGCCCTTTCCCACGCAGTCGCTCAGGCCTCTCTTTCTGTGCGAGTTGGAGAGGCTGCTTTCTGCACACGTCAGTAGCCGTGGCAACTGTGTTGCTGCTCCCTGGCTGTGTTTACCCGTGTCCTCTCCTCGGGGAGAGCTCTGAGGCAGGTGACCTGTCAGCGCTGCCTTCTAATCCCCATTCCCTCCGCAGGACGGACTCTGCTGGAGAAGCTGTTCAGCCAGCAGGAGAACGGGCCTCCGGAAGAGGCGGAGAAGTTCTGCTCCCGCATCCTCGCCATGGGTCTTCTCCTTCCCTTCAGCGACTGCTTCAGGGAGCCGTGCGGTCAGAACGCCCAGTCCAGCTCGGCCCCGTTCGACGTAAGTAGGAGTCCCGGCTGTCCCCAGGGCAGACTGCGTGGAAACAGGACTTGTGCTGTGTGTGGGCCCCCCACCCCATCGTTTAAACACCAGCGTGCGAGCCAGCCTGCCTCTACCCGGCCCCCCGAACTGTTTCTACGCTCGCCTTTTTCACCGGGGCATTCCTCCTTCTTTTTGCTTTTCCACCACAGTTTACATTTAACATTATTTTGTATTAGTTTCGGGTGTACAGCATAGTGGTTAGACGATTATAAAGTTTGCACAGTGATCCCCCTGCTATTTCCAATACCCTATTTCTGGCACCACACATGTTACTACAATATCGTTGAGTATACTGTTCCCTGTGCTGTCTGTTACAGCCCTGTGACTATTTCGTAACTGCCAGTTTGGACCCCTCCCCAATCTGTACTTCTTACTCCCTTCACCTTATACAGGCCCAGCCTCCCAACCCCCGTCTCCCCTCTGACGACCATCAGTCTGTCTCTATGAGTCTGTTTCTACTTGGTTTGTTCATTTATTTTGCTCTTTAGATTCCACATAGAAGTGAAACCATACGGCATTTGTCTTTCTCTCTTAAACATTTCACTTAGCGTAATGCCCTCTAGGTCCACCCATGTTGTTGCAAATGGTAAGATTTCTAGGATATTCTTTATTTGCTAATCCCCCTTTCCTTAACAGATGGCTACTCCTGACCGTTGTCTAGCCTGCTTTAATCAGTGATGATTTAAAGTGGCTCTGATCAGTGTTTCTGACTTCGCTGGTCATAGGCATTCCTTCAGAAGCAGCTCCACAGGGCAAGAGTTCTGGTCCCGGGGGGTCGCAGGTCTCCACGGGCCCTAGAACGCTATTTCATTGTACTCGTCACTCATCTACAAATAAAATATTGACATGAAGCAGCACTGTCTGCTTTCTCCCCCAGCTCCCTGTCACCAAGAGAGTTAATACTGCGGAACGGTAATTCCAAAGGCACATTCACAGTTCATAATGAATATCAGCATAGTTGGATTGGATTATCATTTTCAAGCCAGAGTATTACTAACCTTTCTCAGGTACGTGGTACATGTGTGACATTGGTTGTGATGAGTATATGAATTTCTCATAAGAAAATTAAAGGTCCGGTTGGCCCACGTGTGCTGAGGGTATCATGAAGCGGAGTTCTCAGGTAGATGGGTTATGGTTCCATTGCTTCCACCTGTTCCCCTTACTCTGCAGACCTCTTCAAAATGTATGTGCTTTTGAGTAAGGAGTGAAATAATGACAAATTTTGAAAGACAATGAAAATGAGTCTTGTCCGAGATCAAGATGCAATGTCAATGATAAAATGTCTCTCTGTGCTTGTTTTCCTTCTTTCTCTTCTTTACCCATTACAACGTGTGGTCTTCTGAGTCTCCCTTCAGTAATAGGAAAATAAATCACATAAAATAATTGTGAGATCTTGTTGACAGCATAGGTACTACTATGAAGGAAATAAACCCAAGTAATAAGACACGAAAGAAGATTTCCTAGGATGTGCTGAGACTTGTGAAGCTTCCTTCTTAAGACTTACCTATTTATGTATTTTTTAATGACATGGCAGCTAGTCACTGTGAGGTAGATCTTTTTCTTCTGTGGAAAGAATTGAATGGTTTAAGTTTTTTCTTCCCTTTTCTGTCTTTTGTGAGAGTTGTGTCTTATTGATAAGAGACAGTACCCAGGGAGTGTGGTGGGCTGAAAGTGTTGCAGAGCTGTGTTCTAGAAGATAGGTCAATTTGCAAGTTGGAATTAAAATAAATATGGTGCAAACAAAGGCAAACACTAGGTATGTCTAATGCTTGCTTTTTGATTAAAACGGTTCCCAGGTTGACTGCACATTCCTCCTTTAAACCTCAGAAGTACAGTGTTATTATTCATTAAATGCAGAATTGGAACAAACGGCAAAGAGTAAGATAATTCTAATCATTTTCTTCCAGTCACTGAACTGGCTGCTTCTTATCCCCTCCCTGCGCCATTGCGGTGTGTGAGAGACTAATAATTCCTCCCAGCCTTGTCATTTTGGAAGGCAGTGGGCTGGCGCAGAGAGCAAAAAGCAGACAGCAAACAAAAACCCTTAACATGCTAGGAAATAATTTTCACAGAATGGGCAATCTCTTCCCACCACCTTATGATTGTATTTTCCTCTTGCTTTATTCATTGCTATTACCCTGCACCTCTCACCAAACTGCACACAAAACAATTACAGAATTAAAGGAGCTCTGTTGAGAAACGATATTCCATAGACTTCAACAGCACTCCAGTAATAGAACCGTGCGTTTATTTTATGCGTGGTCTAGGTTTTCTCCAAAACTCCGAAGAGGTACCACTACAGGGAGGTGTGCAGACTGAGATATTAGTGGGGGAATGATGAGGAATGCGCTTATCTGTGGAGAGAGGTTTCTGATAATTAGTCTCTTTGCCGGGTTCTGGAAAACCGCCGGGGAGGATTGCTAACCAACGGTTCTCTCGGGGACAGTTGCCCTTCAAGACAGGGCTCCCTTTGGGAATGAGTTTATACCTGTTACTGTTCCCACCCCCAACTTGGCACCCTTCCCTAAGAACACCCGCCCCTGCTCTGCTCTCCCTTTCCTTTCTCCGTTCCCACATGTGGTTAGAGAAGCAGAGTTTTGATTGGGGATGTTACTGATTCTGCTTACAGATCAGTCTCCTCCAGCCCACCCTTTTGATTTCATCGAAATGTTTTATACATGCGTAGAGCCTGATATTTTGCTTTAGAAATGCTATCCAAAAGAAAGTCACATTTTTTTTTTTTTACATTTTACCTTAAAGTTTCAAGAATACGCAAAGGCAAAGAGCTTTGATTCATTATGTGAATTCAGTCACAGATGTTTACCAAATGCATTCTATAGGCCAGGCAATGTTTTAGGCTCCAGAGATATGTTAGTGAACAAGAGAAATATGATTCTTGTTTTCCCCCAAATTATATACTTTTCATAGTGGGAAGAGACATTAAAGCACACACACACACACACACACACACAAATAAAAGCATAGGTAATAGTATGAAGGAATTAAACCCAAGTGGCATGATAGAGTGAAGGGGGTTGAGGCAGGGTGAATATAGAGGGAAGCCTCACTCAGGAGTCACGAGATGAGGTCTAAGGGAGGGTCATCCTAGGAAGCTCAAGTGTCAAGTTCAAAGGGCCCAGGGAGGGCACAAGCATGGCCTAAGCAAGGTGCAGACTGAGGGCCTGTGGAGATGAAGTCTCACGAGACGAGGACAGAAAGGATTTAGGAGCCATGCAAGGGACATTGACTTTTTTTAAAAAATGTGGGAGCTTTTGGAAGGTTTTTATGCAGGAGAGGAACATATTCTGTATTGCACATGGATTGCATAGCCTGGCCTTTGAGTGGTAAAGTACAGCAGGCAGAAGTAGAAGCTGGACCACCAGGTGGGGCACTGTAGTAGTTGAGCAAGAGATGGTGGCGAGAGGTTGGGGTAGGTGGTGGTGAGGGACACGGAGCAGAGGCAGCAGGTGTGGGGTGGATTCTGGAGGTAGTGCTGGCGGCTCCTCTCCTGGGTTAGACCAGGGGCAACGAGAAAGGAAATCAAGGATGGCTTCTTGGTTTGGGGATTTAAGTAGTTGGTGGACAGTTGCATGGTTTATGGAGATGGAGAAGACTGATGAGTTTTAAGGGGAAAATGTTTTAAGGACAGAAGTGGTATTCATTAAATACTTCTCTTGAATAAAATTCTTTTCATTTAGAACACTAACACCTAGCCTATTACCTGCCAAAGGTTAGAGTCTGATTTTTGCTGAGTGGAACATCACCGACTTTCTTAGCTGATCAAAGTTAAGGCCATGCTACTCACAGTTATGTTGGCCATCCACAGGCTGCCAGCCCTTTTCATAGCCGTGTCCTCACAAACCAGAGAGAAAGACTGAGCTTCAAGTGCCTAGCAGGATTGTCTGCAGTCATTTTCCCATTTTGATTCCTAATCCAGGGACCTAGGAACTCTCAGCCTACTTCTTATTCTCAGTATCCTCGTGTTTGCCGTCTGCTTTTTTGTTTGTTTCTGCTTTAGAATTCAAATGGAAAGGATTCTAAGCTAAAACAGTTCTAAAGCCAGGAAGAGAAAACACAGAGAATATTTTTGCTTGTGACTTGCTAGATTGTATTGTTGAGTGGAAGATCATCGTGATTCTTTGCGGTCTGAGGAGAGATGTTTTTCTTCTGGAACCCATTGTAGTCATTTGTCTGACAGGTGTGGGGGAAAAAATCTCTCCTGGAAATTTTGCTCCAGTCTCCACCTTCTCATAAACCGAAAAACCTTTGCTTGTGACAATCACAGAACTGGAAGTTTTGGGCTCCTGCCCTGCCACCTGTGAGAGGACAGGCGAGTGCCCAGCCTGTTGCCAACCACAGACTTGGCTCATTGCCTGTTAGTTGTGAATGGAGGTCGTTTTGCAAGAACAAGTCCAGTATATGGCCCTTTAAGATCCCTATTCCTTTGAATGCCTTAATGCACATTGTGACCCCTTTTCTCGTCAGCAGCTATTTTCCAGCAAACCACAGTTATCTGACATAATTGTTGGTGATGCCTGAGCAAGCTCTTCTAAGATTTCTTCTGTCATAACTATGTTGGATATCATATTATTGCTTTACAGGCAAAAAATCAAGCAAGCCTACTTTGACTCAAGAATTTTGGCAGGAGTGTATGGTTATACCTACTCAGTCCTTTATCAGTAATCTTAAATGTCCTTTTCGTAGAATATTTTTGGATGCATGTTTTTGGGTGCCGGACCTTTTTTAGTTTGGCAGATCTGTTGATTTTGCGAAATAAGTAGCGATCCCCATTCTTATGGGCAAGAGCTCTTTGGTGTGTATTTAAATGGACATAGATTTGGATGAGGGTATTAGTGAGGCTCGAATTAAAGAAAAGGAAGACATGAGAGTTCAGTCCAAAAAGGAATAAAAGAAATACGACCTTGAACCTGTTGAGAGGTAAGTCAGTGATGATTACC